GCTGAATACTATTTTTTTGATCACTTTAACAAAACTAAATCTCTTTTCTCTCACTTTTCCTCGTTTACTCCTCAGTCACTCCAGGATTATTGCTAGACCAATGAAGACCAGAACCCACTGTGGGGGTACCACACTTACAGCTTTTCAACTACCCCTTCACCTTGGAGTTCTTAGCATCTACATACACCAGGCAGATAAAGGAAAAGAAGTGGACAAATGGTGGGATTCGCAGCGATGGTAGGATCAGGTAGAAATCCAAGTCCCCAGCAGATCCTACTTCTTCCTCCAAAATCCCTTTTCTTTTCCTGCACAAAGCATCATGTATCTGGAAAGCCTTTATTTAGCTCTGAAGTTTTCAGGTGACAGTAGCTCACTTTGAGTGTCTTTGCAATAAACTCATCTCACTTGAGCAAGTGGGAAGACCTAGGCTGAGCTGGGAGAAAACTGACACCAATGTCTGTGAATCACAGAAACATAATTTGCATTTCAAGCTGACTTGGTGCATCTAGCTGTTTCTTAATGAGAAATTTACTGAAACGATGCTGTGTCTGCCTACACAGCCCCCCACAGCAAGGCACTGATTGCACTGGGGATCAGAATGAGCAGCTTTCATCTGCATTTTGAGAACTTGCCAGTTAAAAAAAGAAAAAGAAAATAAGTTTGGGTTTTTTTTTAACTGGAAGATTGTTCCTCAGAGGAAAAGAAGCAGTGTTGCTGGTCCTCAGAGTACATTTGGCCATGATACTTACTTATCCTTATCGTGCCCTTCCAGCAACTGTGAAGCAGCAAGTGCCTTTAGTTGTATTAAGAATGATGGCATTCGGTGGCCATAAAGTCATTACATATGGGAAACAAGGCCCGCATTACCCAAAGACTGTGCTGTCAGGGCAGCCATTTGAATGCCATCCCGCTTCCTTATGGTCAACAGTTGTTTTCATCTGAGGCTGCAAATCAGTCTCTGAGACTTTGTTGAATTTACACTAATTCTTAATGGCCATCTGTCTGTCCTACAGAACATTTTATCAAACATGGTATACTTTTAGCAGAGGGGCTGAAGGAAGAATGGACAGGAAAACTAAGCTGCCCTGTCACCTCCTATAAGCACTCCCCTAGGCAGACAGAGCTACAAACAGATGAGTGAAGCTTGCACTGGCAAGTGGTCCTAGCCAGGTCTGATAGCAACAGACTTGTGTCTCCATGACTGTTAATACAACACTCTTCCACTAACTGCAACCAACCAATTTCCTTCTTCATGCTATACCCCACTGGGGGTGTGAGACGCTGAATTTGCACGTCTGAGCCCTGGTGGCAAAGAGACATGCTAAGTGATGGCAGACGCTTGCTCTGAGCATACACGTGCAGTGCTTACAAAGGCTTGTGAGGAGGGAAAAAAAGAAGAAATAGCACTGGGTGCAGTGATACAGTCTGCCCTTATTTTTGGGCAAGTTGGGAAAGATATAAAACAAGATAGCTGGAAAACTTCAGGAGGATGGTAGTCGAAGTATTAGATACTACTCAGCACCTATTTCTGGATGCGATGACTTTTAGGGGGACTGTAACTTGCATCGAATTCCATTATACCTTATGGCTGAAAAAGGTGATCGAGGATATTTTCATAAATGTAAACACATTTTCCATCAACAGTTTTTTAAATGAAATGTTTCCTCTTGGAAACAGTGAAACATTTTTTATTTTGATGTTTTCCAAATGAAACTTCCCCTTTTGAAAAGGCATATTTTGCTAAAATGCAAAAAGCTGCATGTTGTTTTTAGACTTACTAAGTAAACAGAAGCTTTCTCCCAGATTTAACTGTGTATTCAGTTAGTTGGACCTAAGTAGGCTTGTCTTTTAATTAACTCTCAGTGGCAATAAAGAATATGAACAGAAAACCAGAGTTGCTAAAAAGTTATAGTATACTGCTTGAAAACTTGCTGCACTAAGCACACACTAACTTACTATGTTTCATATGAATTCTCACTTTGCAGAAAAATAAAGCAAGGAGGGATCACGGTGGCTCCCTTGAGAAAGTAAAAGGACAGTTCTGGGCTCCCACACTGACACTTTCAGCTTTTTAGCATATGTATCATTACATGGGTACACTACACTGGTCTATCTATCTCCTACATCTGTCTACATTTTTAGCACAATTCAACCTCTAAGCTGTGTTACCACTAAATGAAGCAGGCATCTGATCCACATTCAAGCACCAGAAGGAGTTTGCTGTGTCACTGAATCTGTCCTTCTCTGTGTGTCATGTAACCCAGTGACAAAAACGTGTCAGTGTCCGTCTCTAAGCTAGACAAGCTCTTACACCTCTTAGAAGGCTGTCCCAGTCTCACAGAGCTCTCTTGTGATATCAGCTGAGGTACCTACACCACCTCTGGTTGTGCCATGTTATGGAGTACGACCGCCCTGAGACCTTTATGGACAAAGTGATCAACTCAGTAATTTTTACCAACCTTACCTGGGGATTCAGAGAACATATCTATCGATGTTAAGTGGAGATCAGAAAGTCCCTTTTCCTCCTTCATGGTTTTGACATAGTTTTTGAAAGGCCAGCTTTGTCTTGGCTTGTGTTGTATAACGCAGCGCGGTTTCTTCACATCCCGCTTACCCAATAGCTAAAAGACCACAACATGACATGACAGTATCTATAAAATCAATGTCTTTCTACCTGTTACAAAGCAAAAAAGGTACTCAGTTCTATCAGTCCTGCCTATACAGACTAGATCGCTATAGTTTGCTTTAGTAACTTTTTATGCAGCTGAGAAACACAACGCGTGGACAAGTCACAGCAGCTTACTCAGCACATCAGTCAGTATGGTATTGTTTAATAGAAATATAGGGGAATCAGCCCATGTGTAGAATGCATTGCATTTCATTTTTATTCAGCAATGTGAAAACAATTCTAAAACAACATGGAAGCATCTCTGTTAGGCATCTAAAGGAGTACCGAAAAATGTCGGGAGAGTAGTGGTTTTAATAGCAACCTCATATAGTATTTGATAGGTTTATAATTGAGGATACTGCATATATTGTTTGTGTGTGTGTGTGTGTGTGTTTGTATGCGAAAACTTACCTTCTTCCCCATACACCTAGTAGACAAGCAGTGTAGTAGGATTCTGGAAATCAGTGGCTTTAATTTTTAGCATCACCAGTGGTCTGGCAGGTTGATTTGGACCAAATCAATTTTCTTTCAGTGCACATCCCTCAAGTATTTTGATTAAGTTTCAACCTGATCAGGATTTAGATTACTGACAGTGTTGTTGAGTTGTTATGAACACCTGATCTAACTGGTTTAGCATAAAATCTGGAGGATGTTTATCTCCGTTTTCTGGGTTCAGTGGAGAACCCAGATCAGGCAAGGCCAGCTTTGTCATTTGCCTCTAGATCAATCTGATGTCCCAGTCTCGGGTGTGCTCTGCAGCGCAGCTTTGAGCTGGAGCACAAACCAGTTGAAGGCGGTGGAGCGGACCTGAGCACGGCCAGGGAAATCCTCAGGAGCCAGTCAGCCTGGCTGTGCCATAATGGTTGGCTTGCTATGCATGTCGCATTTTAGAGAGAACAGTAAGTGATAGACCAGGAAACCTGGGACGGTCCTATAATTAATAGCTTGTGTTTAAAATGAAAAATTAAGCATGGCCAGTGTCCATTATTGTAGGAATATAGATGGTTCAAAACTGTTTTTCTAAGCAAAGGAATTAAATCACAGTGGGTTGAACAGTTTGTGGTTACTTGACAGTGTGGCTTTCTCCAGCAGAAACCAAAGAATTCTCTTTTAATGGATGTCTTCTTTCCAGAGAAGAGTGTGCTCTCTCCTAATGCTTGGATCACAGACAGGCCTGAACCAGACCACCAAGCAGCACGAACTTTGGCTGGTGACTGATGTAAAAGCAGACTCAAATCCAGATCTATAAATCCAGGAATAGGTCCCACTTCTGTCATTTGTCAAACTTGAGCAATTAGGGAGCGCACAAGCTCCAAAGCTTGTGAAATCTCATGATTTTCTCTAAAAGACTGAACAGGAACCTGGAATTTAAACACTGTTCCATGCATACAGACTAATGCAGGAGCAAACTTAGATTTCAGGAAGGTATCTCAGATTCATGCTGATCTCTCAATCCTTATATTGACCTTCTTTGCAACTTGCTTTCTGTAATGGAGGAGAAAAAGAGGGAAAACCTGCCTCTTCTGATCTGAGAACCTCTTTGGAACATAAATGGAGATATAAATGGGGAGATGGGCACAGGTCCATCCTAGCTTGGTTTCTGACATAAATAGTCTGTTCTGCAGATGCTCATCAACATGCTAAGTCTTCTGATAGACAATGTTTTCTTTACGCCCCAAATTTCTTTTTAGCAGTAGAAATGCAAGGCATTGTGTTAAATCAACAGTGGTATCTTGTGGTCACTGGATGGTATAGACAGTTCTTTCCAGCTCTCTCTGAATATGTGAAAAACAACAAGCAGGTTGAGCGTAACCACTATTCTGTGCAGATCTCCAGCTGTTTCATGAAATAGTCTATCAAAAGGTTGTAAAAAGGAGACTTCTGTGTCTGGTTCCTAAGTCACTGCTGGAGGCTAACTATTCCCAGTCTTACTTTATAACCTGCCTCCAGCATGAAAATGAAAAAAACCACCAGCTTCTTTTCACATACCTATTGCTAGGCTATTGCTTGGTTTAAAACAACATTATATTACGTTAGATGTTTAATATTAGCACAGCATTAAATCACAGATGCAGAGCTGAACCCACAGAAAACATTTTCCAGCCCAGGCAGTCAGGCCAGCAGCTTCGCTGAGCCTGCAGCTTGCTCGACAGCTCTCGGCAGTTCCCTGGCGTGGAGGGAGCTGCGGGAGGTGGGTGGGACTGGCAAGGAGCACCACGAATTCCAGCAGCGGAGAGCAAAGGACCGGAGAAAGGCAGCGGCAGAGGCAGCACAGAAACAGCCCTTCAGCAATCAGGTTAATTTCTTACATAAGGTCGAGCTTGAGTATTACTTGCTTTCAGCCTCATGCTTTAGAAATGTTATTGCTGGTTACACAAATCTTTTTTTCCAGACAAAAATGGTGAAGGAAACACAGGTGATGATCAGATGAGCTCTTCAGCTTCGACAATGCAGGTCCCCCACCCTAAAGAGACCACATGGGAGCAGAAGGTCCCATACATCTGTGGCCAGCACAGTACCCATGCACAATGAGTTTGAGCTAGGCTTCTGAATCCGTGCCTGACAGCGACAGTTCATGCTTCTCAAGCTCTGTTTCTTCCTGGCGGAGCTGGAGAAATGTGGTATCAAGCACTCGCTCATGTCAGTGTTTCTAACTAGCGAAAAGCTTGGGGAGAAGGAACCCCCTCCATTATATGCAGGTTTTCTTTGCAACACAAAAGGACGTGAATAATTACTTCAGTTAGACTCTTTGGAAACTGAGTCACTGGAGAAATGTTGGTAGAGAAGTATCACTTCGATCCAACACGAACACACAGTGAATACAAATCACCAAACAGAAGTTTAAGCTCCATTTTAAGAGAAGGTTCAGAGGGAACATCAGCAGTGTTGACTTCCACAGCAGCTTGAACAAACCTTCAGGCTGAATTGAACAGTCACCTAACAAAGTTCTTGCTAATGCACTTCATCGCCCACAGCCCAGGTACTGTGTGTGCTTCCTATTCCACGTGCCCAGTCACTTAGTCTCTTCCCCTTGATTAAAGACAACAGATATTTTTAGAGCCCATTACTTCTTTTCCTTAATTTCTCTTCTTCAGGCTTGGGGCCCCTGTAATTGGCCACGGTGATGTTCATTATGAAGGAGGTGTGAACAGGTTGGTCTCCTGGGACGCTCCTTCTTGACTGGCCTTTTTTCCTCAAAACAAAAAAGGAACAAAGATATTGCCGAACACTTGCCTAATTAACACAAATATGCATGGCTTATCAGGGTGTTTAGATGTAAGGAACAGTAAAGAGGTATAAGACCCGGCTTTTCAAAAGGATTTAATTCAGCCTGTAATGGTTTGCAGACATATCCAGCAAATCTCCAGATAATTAGGCCTGTTTCTGGCATACCAAAGCGAATTGTTTAGATCTTTTTCCCTTTAAAATCACATTATCTGGAATGCCCTCACTGATAGCAGAAGGATGAAGCTCAGAGGCATAAAATATTTGTGCAAAAAGACAACCGTAATGGTCTTTTCCATTAATTTCTGTGAACTTCATTCTTTTTCTTGGATAGACTGCCACGAGACAATCAGGCAGCTTTCAGAGCATGTGCATTACCTACCACTGCTCAACTGGTAACCTGGAGTAAGAAGGGGCAGCATCATCTCAGAAGGATGCACAAAGAGCAGCTCAAATGCAAAAGTACTGACAGATCGCCGGTCTCTCCCTCTGCCTCCTCAAAGCCCTCTAATGTATTGTCACTTCCATTACTACTGAAATGAAAACACACAGGGCTCTCCTGCTTGTGGAAAATGAATGTGTTCTCATCTATCGCATGCATGTGAAGCCAAGCCAAAATTAGTAAGAACTTCATTTTAATACCATGCTGAGAAGGTTTTATTCACTGAGTCTCCTTGCCTCAAGACATGCTGCTGCCTTAGAACAGAACTCCCACACATTCTGGTTTATTACCAAAGCTCACATTTTATAGGCAATTCTTAATCCTTATGTTATTTTGTTACTCAGACAAATTTATCTAAATCTATCTGCAAATTTTTGCAAATACAGACTGTGCTGTCTGAGGATGAAGGAGTCTGGGACTAGCTGCATAAGGGAATACAAATATCATGGCTTTCATTTGCTTAGAAGTTGCAAGCCAGGAAGCTCATCAGGCTGTTTGAAAACTCCCTTTTGCTGCACTCAAGGAGGCAAAGGCTGGCAAAATGAGGCTTATGAACCCCACCCCAGTCTAACTCTTATGATAGAAAGTGCTCTAAACTTATAAAAAGGGGCTCCTGGTCTCTCTTCCCAACTGTCACTTTTTAATTCTGCGGGTGGAAACCTTCAAATTCTTTATAACTCAATTTTATTATTTCTAAAATGATGGATCAACATGCATCTTTACCCTGTACATTGACCTCCTCAGATGTGACAGTAGAGTGTATGACTTAGATCTCCCTTTGATGTGAGTATTGACTTCTGGCTGATTTTTTCAGTTTACCACAGCTGAGGATCTGTCCAAATAAGCATCAAAATTTTTTCATAACAGGTCTTCCTTCAGCAGCAATGCATAATTTAAGCATGTCCTTCTGTTGTCCCTTAAAAAGGTCAAAAATCCTATGCTTCATTGATTCAGAAGGGTGCAGGAAAGGGGGGTTTAAGAACAGATTTGATTTGTTAGCATGCATTTAAAAACTACCTAGAGTTTCTTTGGGGTCTATCAGAAAGCTTGAAAACTATGTCAAAGCTTATACAAATATTTAAGTGGAAGGCTTTCCAACCTAAAGTAAAATAAAATAAAATAATATAAAATAAAATATGCAGAAAAAGAGAACTAAACCATTCTTTCACATCTTTTTTCTGTTTGTGTATTTGTAAAATGTTTTCCAATGGATGCACAGATCCATTTATTGCAAATTGAAGCAGACCCACATCAGGTTTAACACTTTTAAAGAGCGCCACATGATGTTCCACCAAACCACAGGGACCCATGGGTCATTAGGTGGAAATAATTGAACTAGATTTCCAAATACTTCCTTACGCTGCTCACAGATACATTCATCAATTCCCCACGCACCCTGCTACAACGTAAAGAAATGGACCTGTAATATCCCACAGGTTACATGGTATGGATGCTATAATTCAGCATGGTAGAGAAGAGGGTGATCGGTAGGACAACTCAAGGCATCGGATACTTATTACTTGCCATGAGCAATGGGAAAGAACCAGCTCCCCAGCCGAGTTCTGATGTCAGTCACATCAATGTCAACCTGAAGCAGCTGCTCTGAAATTAATGGATTTGCACCTGCATGGTTGAGAGCAGAATCTAATTCTCAATCTATAATTTAGAGGGGGATCGCCCTGGTACCTTGCTATTTTCCACATTTTGCATGGCTTTAAAGTGCATTCTGAATCTTTAACATGCATCACTGATTTGT